TTTACGTTTTTTTACAAACCTCTAATTTCTTTATTTAGTACGACGAGACCTAAATAAAAATTAAAAAACGTCCCGGTACCCTTCTCGCCACCACCCTACTGATATCACACATCTTCTCTTCATAAATTGCCAATAGAAAGCCAAAGTTTTAATCTATAAAATGATGTATTATATTATCTTGTTTTCTATACAAAGAATTGTCTATTTCACTTCCTGTTCAAACTTTATTCCCACAGTATACACATCCACAAGGTTAGCTGAATTTTTAACATCTCCTATCTCATAGTTAGAAAAGCAGAAAAATTATAATAGTTGTAGGACATTGTCTGCATTTTATGTGTTGTTATTCTGTGTTCTTACGTGTATTATTTAATTTTTTAAGATTATTTAGTGCAGTAGTACCATTAGTATAAAAATATAGGGTTAAGCTTCATCGACAGTTGACAGCAAAAACAAAGACCCAGGTAAGTAATATATTTCTTGTTTTTCATGTGTATTCTTTATTAATTATTATAAAAGTATCTAAAATGTAAAAAATAGAAACTTTTTTTTGGTTATATACGGTTAGATTAGGTAAGATAATGAAAAATAATAATAATAATTCATGAGGTATGCTTGCAGGCAGCTGGCAAGTAACCCATGCATTACATAATTCAGTAGGGTAGCATGAGCTACACATTCACCAAGTGATTTACAACTTGTGTGATGGATTATTAATTAGACACCATTCAACGGGTAATAAAAACGAAGTATAAACAAATGTGTAATGTTATGAGTTTTAAGCTATTTCGGAGAAACAGATGTAGTTCCTTGTTACAATTTAAAGTCATTCTAAAGATTAAAAAGAAAGGCAACTTAGATTTATTTCATTTTTTTCCTCATGATGGTTATGAGGTTGATCAAATTGACTGGCCTCATATAGGGTTAGGATGGGAGAAATAACAGATAGATATATATATAAAGTTACTGATGCTTGAAATGTATTTAGGAGGTTATAGAGATTATGTAAATGAAATTTGACAATTTTCAGATGAAGAAAAGTATATTTAATCTTAACGTGAAAATCACTTTGTATTTGGAGCAGTCAACAAAAAATAATTCATTAAGAATTCTATTTTTTTGTCTACAAAAGACTTAATGCTTACTGAAAGCTTGTGAAATTCTATGAAAATACATAAAACATATTATAAATTGTAGTACGGAAACTTTAAAGACCAATTTTGGGTCACAAACTTGGTCAATTTGACAGCCTGTGACAAGTGTATTCAATAGCTACTGTGTTAACATTTATGTAAAGTGTTCACTCTGATAAGAATTAATAGCAACTTCAGATTAAACTTGAGTAAATTATTTAGATTAGAACCAGAGACTAACCTACAAATCAGTGAAGTCAATTCTATATTAGAGACAAGTAAATGTACATTGTCATACAATAGCATGCTAGAAAACTAAATGATACTTATTAATGTGTACTCGATCAACAGCTGGGTACCTTCTCTGTTAATTTTTTCAGCTGTAATCCCAAAAATATTTTGAAAGATTCAGTGGTCTTTAGGAGAGTTAGTTTAGTATTAAATCCATATGCTAATGCTAACCTGACAATATAAAATAATAATATTAATTCTAAAAAACAGAAAATTATTCCAAAGTATTAAAAGTATTATAATCAGTGATTTTTAATGAAACTAAATATAAAAGAAAGAAGAAAAAAAAGTACTTCCCAAACTCAAAACATCGGAGCTTTTAAAGCTAAAAGTAGTTATTTGAATTTTTTTTTTTATGGAAAACAGTATGTTACTGTTTTATGTTTTGTGCTGCTGAAAGAGAAAGAAATCATCGACTTTTGAGAACCTCGAAGTGTTAAAAGTCTTATATCATGCTTTCTATTTTTCATGAAGGTGGTAGTTGATGACCAGATTCTAGAGGTAGAAAGAAATATCTCACTTTCTGTTCCAGTTTTGGAGACTTCTGTTGATAATAGGCCTTACACAGTCCAGCTGATTACTCTTGATGCGAGTGGACATATTCGATTGCGATTTCAGGGGACAGCAGTAAGTATATTCTCTGATTGCGTATACTGTTTTCCCAACCTGATCAACTGAGATGCCGCTTTTGTGTTTAATTTGTTCAGTATAAAGTTGCTTTTTCATTTAAAAAAATTTTTTTTTAGTTTACAAAATTCAGCTTCCAAATGTAATTATTTTCAGCGATGTAACCTATATCGTTCATATTCTCATAAACATTATTACATTCCTGCACATATCTGTTGTTACATTTGTTTTGTTTCTTCAACAGTATAACATCAATATATTACCTGCAGATGCCTTCAGTTTGAACCAACACATGCTGACCAAGCCAAAGGTACAGATTCATTATGCCCTAACAAAATTTGGCTTTATTATATTTTAACCTACATAAATAATTTAACATTAGTTCTACTTGTTTCACAGTGGAATAAATAAATATGATCCTTATAGAAGCCTGTAATTAATGCCAGTG